TCTGCCAGAACATTCTGGAGCAAGTCGGGCATGTCCCTACCATCACATACTGACTAGGTTGCTTAAATAACAGGGAGCCTGCAGGCTGGTCCTGGAAGGCAGAGCTCTGTCCTTGTCCTCAATGTTCTCTGGAATTTCATGAAGATGAATCTCGGTGTAGGTCTGATTTCATCCATTGTGCTGGGTACTCGATGGGCCCTGTTACTCTGGAAACACATCTCCAGTTCTGAGAAATGTTTTTTCTTTTAAGATTTTCTCCCCAATTTTCTCTGTTTTCTCCTTCTCAAGTGCCTAACTTAGGCTCCTAGACTTTTTTAAAAAAAACAATTATTTAACTAAAATAACTACACTTCTATTTTCTAATAGTTACTACTTTATAGTAGGAACTCTAATTCTTTGAAATTTAGTTTCTAACTGGGAAAACTGAAACTGTACATGAAGTCAGAAAGAAATATATGTATGCAGAAAGACAACTGGGTACCTCAAATGGCTTATAAAAGGATGAACCCAGTCCTAATAGACTTAGGAGTTCCTTTTGGTGATATAAAATATGGATAAGTATGTCAAGGTAGAAGGAAAGAAACCAAACCCTTTGGAAACCTGCACTATGTTACAGGAAAAGTATTTGCTTACAGCTAAATGATTTGCACACTGGAATAAATTTAACCAATATTAACTATAAAGAAGTATAACTCAGTCCTAAATTGTTGTTTCCTTTTATGAGCCATTTGAGGTACCCAGTTTTAGTTTTCCCAAGAGCTCTTTTGTTGTGAATTTTAGAAATTGCATCTTGTTCTTTTTCCATGGAAGCAGTGTTTCATCTAAGGATAGTCATGACAGCTTTTTTAAGTTTTCTTCTGCCTGTATATTGTTTCCTCTCAGATGCGTTCGTCTGACTATTTTGATGTTTTTCATACTAAATGCTTTTCTTACATGGTGATCGTTGGCTGTCTGCTCAAGTTTACGAATGGAGCTGTAATAAGTTGTTTGGGAAGTCCTGTGGCTATGGGTGCACTTAGTGGCTGAGGCCTTTCTAAGGCAGCCTGTTTCATCACGGGGTAGTACCTTCAAGTCTTTTATCCCAGGCTAGTCAGATGCCCTTGGGATTTCTCCCATCGTCTGCCTTCTGCCAGAAGAGTCCTAATCAGGCTGCCAGTGCCTGGGAGCACGGGCTGGCAAGGCCTCTACATCCAATTTGGAAACTCCCACCTACCCATCCTTGCAGAAGAGCAGCCTCGCTCTCCGTGTGCCTGCTGTTCCAGGCCTCTACCGGGGACTAGAGATGCAGCTGGCTGGCTGCGCAGCTTGTCTAATGACAAGGTCCAACAGTCTGGTGCTTTAAGTCTTTCAACTGATCCTACATTTTTAGACCCATTTCATTGTCCCTTCCAGAAGTTCCTCATGCCAATTCCTCAGCCTTGTGGGGGTTCTTTGACAATGAAAGTTGGGTGGTTTCTCAGATTTCCCTACTGCTGACTTAGGATCCAAACTTCCTGGGTCCATGAATTCAGTCGCAGTCCTTCTTGTTTCCAGCATCCAGAACTGTACTGCGGTTGACTCCTCTCTGTCTCTTCATCCTCATGGGCTTATGCCATGAAAAAAATCCCCTTCTGTCATCGTACTGGGTATCTGGGAGCAAGTGGACCTAAATGTGTGTGTTCAATCTAGTGTGCACAGTTAAGCTAATGTTCAAATTTCTTAAAAAACCATTTATTAGCTTGAAACCAAAGGATCATACTGGTAATCATGAGTTTTGGATCAAAAAACGCTTTTAACATGTATGATCTTCTCTGAAGCTGATGACAACCCTGTAATGATAAGATTATTCCTTGTGTTCTATAGGAGAACAAATAAAAAAAAAAATGGGAGGTTCACTTATTTTATTTAAAAGCAAACTGACAGCATATGGGCCAAATCTGGATGGCCTTACAAATTATCAGAATTTATTACAAATGTTAAAAATCAGACCATGCGTTAAAAAAAATCCAATTTTCAGCAGCCCTTGAAAAACTGGAAAATGGGGCAACATTGGACCAAACGTCCCACAGTGACAATCATTGGGAGCTGAACTATGGCTGCCGCTTTGAGATGGGGCCCGAGCCCTCTGGGTCACCCCAGCCTCCAGCCAGTTACCTCACTTCATTTTTTACCAGGAAACATTTGAATTTGAGACGGGAAAGAAAGAAACCACTTTATTTGGAAAGACAAAATGGAACTTAGTACATATGTCAAAACAAATCTGTAACACAGGCCACTTCTCTGGGTCCCACCAAGTATCCATCTTGAGTAGGGTCCAGTGGTTACCTCGGAGACCAGAAATGCAACAAAGAGGCAAAAATCCAAGCACAGATATGCATATTTTGTCTCCCTCCCCCCGCCCCCAACAAGCTGCATATACTTTTGTAAACATTTGTTGATTTATAAAACATGTCTGGCAAACAAACATGCTGGGATGGAATGCAATAAAGTCACCAAAACAGCCACAAAAACAGTTTGTCTGGCTAGGTGCATCCAGGTTGCATTTGATGATAAATTCCCCCAGTGCCTCAAGCAAGGGTGAGAACAGGGATGTTCAGAAGCAGTGGGGTTTGGGAGCTTTTTCTCTTCTTTCTTACATCCATAAAGCCTGGCATTTATTTACTTATTTTTTCTCTCTTACTTATAGCAAAACTGAAAGGGTCATTAAACTCCAGTTTAAATTTTATTCCCAGGATCCGCTAATAGCAGCTCTCAAACACCAGCTCCAATGTAGCGCCTAGCTAGTAGCGTCACTGTCAAACAGCCTACCTGGCAGAACCGTGGGTTCTCTGTTGGTGAAATGAGGCTACCAAATGATAACCAGGAACTGGCTCTGCTAATCTCCTGAACTTACACCTGGCTTCTTACACTTGAATGTGTCCTGGGTGTGTTTTTTGTTTTTCGGCATGCCCAGCACGTGTGGAAAATGATGATGCCCTAGCCAACTTTAGAAGGCACGCAATACGGTTTTGAAGGTGAAGTAAGTTCATCTGCTGACTTGGAAGGATCTCAGCATCTTGCAAGTTACTTTTCAACTCTCCAGGGTCCTTAAGGAAGCATTTAACTCTACATCCAGGCCATCTCAGCCTCCCAGAGGAGCAGACCAACTACTGACATTAAGGCCACGTGGGTGGGTAGGTGGGTGGGGAATGGAATTGTGGGGCTGACGGTTCAAACGAATCCAGACAATGAATCATTAATTGCTTGGAGGAATCAGAGCCTCAAAGTAAGTGTCACGGCTAGGGCTGACTGTCCATTTGTTCACACACTTGTTGAGTGCCTACTCTGTGCCAAGGCACTGTGTTTTTGAGCCCTGGAGGCCACAAAGTTGAGACAGCTCCTACCCTCAGGACTTAAAGTAGCTCTCAGTCAACAGTCAGAGTAGGAGTTGACAAACTACAGCCCAAGAGGGCTACCTGTTTTTGTAAATAAAGTTTTATCGGAACGCCAGCCACACTCATCCCTTTACGTATTGTCTATGGCTGCTTTTACACCACAACAGGATTGAGTAGTAGCAACAGAGGCCACAGTGGCCTCCAAAGCCTAAAATCTTTACCATCTGGCCCTTTACAAAAAAGTTTGCCAATTCCTACTAGAGAAGAGATGACCTATAACTAAGAAATTAGATAAGAATACAAATTATTTGCATAATAATATCTCAGGAGGCTGGCTGAATTAACAAAAAGCACGAATAACAGGAGGCTTGATTACTTTGAAAAGTCACAATAAAGTTCCTTCTTACATTTATCATATGCAATTTAACTATATGCACTTGGTTAACACACACTCACATACCTTAACCAGCTATTGATCTGGTACAGACGCCAAAGGGCTGATCAGTTTCAACTTCCAAAGGAAAACTGGCTGTGATGCCAGGAACACTGTCATTTATGGGTTGTCTAAGCGATTTTTCAAGGGTAATTGAGACTCCACTTGATTTTTCCTTTAAGAGTACACTCTGGACTTTGGAACCCAATGCTTGCACAGGTTCATGACTCCACAGCACTCAACACTAAAGTGTTAAAGGACCTGTTTTAATGAACAGATAAGAATGGTTGACTGGGCACAGTGGCTCATGCCTATAATCCCAGCACTTTTGGGAGGCCGAGGCAGAAGGATCACTTGAGGTCAAGAGCTTGAGACCAGTCTGACCAACATAGCAAGACCCCATCTTTACAAAAAATTTAAAAAATTTGCCAACCATGGTGGTGGCACGCCTGTAGTCTCAGCTACTTGGGAGGCTGAGGCAAGAGGATCACTTGAGCCCAGGAATTTGAGGCTGCAGTGAGCTATGATCATGGCCACTGCTCTCTAGCCTGGGCAACAGAGTAAGAACCTGTCTCTAAAAAAAAAAAGTTTGTATGTTATACTGTGTTTTTTCTATGTTTTGATTTTTAAACAAAGAAAGAGAGCCTGCGTTAGCATTTGGGGTTGATCAAAGCAGTTTGTTTTCTTTGCTATTTGAAACACCAGATGAAATCATACTAACATGAAATCTAAACTCTGTTTAAAGGAAAAGCTCATTAAATAAAGATAACCATAGCCTGGCCTTAGGGAAACTACTAGAATTAATGAGTGTTTACAGTTCTTGCCCTCTCATTCTCAGACATCTAAGACAAAACCTCAACGGGCTACTGCTGAAAGCATTGTGCTGCAAATTACAAGAAAACCAACTAGCTTCAAGCAGAAAACGCCAAGGATGGGGGTTGGGGAGCAGATTCTACATAGGAACATCAGATGCTAAGAACACGTTGGGGAACACTGTACAAGGGACACTTCAGTCACGTTGTGGATGCTGCCACTGACATGCAGAGTACATGTCAGCTTGGAGGAAAGTCTCCAACATTCCAAGCCACTGTCTTTATATGTAAAAGCTTTGAGGTGCACCCTCTTCCACACTAGCTGATATAGGAGTTAGAGGTAGTAAATGTGTGCATATAAAAGTCAAACCTGTTTTGTAAAGCCCACCGTAAAGAGCATGCTTAAAAAATGGAATTTTAATCAGTAGCATTATGGAAGGAAAATAAAACTAAAAGATTAGAAAACAGTCAGTAAGTGAGCCCTTCCCTACAGCCGAAGGGGCTGTGGGTATTGTACAATCTCACATCCACCAAAAGAAGCCATGCATGCTTCCAAATGCTTCAAGAAAGAAGGCTTATGCTAAGTCACAACAATACGCATCCCCAGGGAAGTTAATGTGCAGCCCCTACACTCCCCTTCCTGATTTACAAAACGCAGGGCTCTGGGGCCTGAGATTTCAGTCCAGCCAGAAAGGGCTGGTGAGCTGAGCCCTAACATCGGCCATCCAAGGCAAAAAGCACTTTCTTACATCTTGTGACAAAAAAAGGAAATACAAATAAAAATAGAACATCAAAATGACATGTCAGCTCATTAGGCTGCTTTTTCAATCCCCACTCCCCCCAAAATACTGCCCTAAGGGACAGCTGTAGTGTCTCTGCTAGTAGCAAAGACATTTTCGAGAGTCAAAAAATGAAATACAAAAAGAAAGTTGATTTATAACACACTAAAAATGCTTTCCCCAAACTAAATAAGTCTTTTTTTTTTTTTTTTTTCTTCTTCTTCTCCTAGCCCTTTGGCTTGGGACCGGCAGTGATCCTCCCGGCAGGTCACTCCTCCATCTGGGCCCAGGCCTCCTCTGCCTTCTGGTAGTACTGGTTGGCCAGCCGGCCCTTCATGGCTTCCATGGCTGCCTCTGCCGCCTGGGTGTACAAGTCCCCTGAAAGAGAGCAAAGTGGGGCACAAAGACGTGATCTGCCTGTTGCTTTGGCCAGCCCAGTGTCCCCTACCCCTCCTGGGAGCGCACCCTGAGGCTACTTTAGGAACCCAAACCACTACCCCTTTTGCCCTCTCCCTCCAGCCAGGTGTTCTGGGTGGTGGTCTAACCATGGACATGTAATTAAGCCCAACCAATCAGAGCACTGCCCCATTCCCCACCACCGAAGGAATTGGTCAAGTCGTAAGCATGGCCAATCAGAGGAAGCCATCTCAATGACCATAGTGATTGGTTTGGAGATGGGCAGGTGATTTAATTTGAGCCAATGGGAATCAGGCTGAGGACTTCTACAGAACTAACTGGGGATGTATGAAAATGGAAGAAATAGGCCAGGCGCAGTGGCTCATGCCTGTAATCCTAGGACTCTGGGAGGCCGAGGCGGGAGGATTGCTCAAGGTCAAGAGTTTGAAACCAGCCTGAGCAAGAGCGAGACCCCGTCTCTACTATAAATAAAAAGAAATTAATTGGCCACCTAATATATATATGGGAAAAGATTAGCTGGGCATGGTGGCGCATACCTGTAGTCCCAGCTACTCAGGAGGCTGAAGCAGTAGGATTGCTTGAGCCCAGGAGATTGAGGTTGCTGTGAGCTAGGATGAAGCCATGGCACTCTAGTGTGGGCAACAAAGCGAGACTCTTGTCTCAAAAAAAATAAAAAAATAAAAAAAAAAAGAAAAGAAAAAGAAAATGGAAGAAATAGACTAAAAACAGCTTCACCTCAACTCAGGACAGATTTTGCTACCAAGTGAATTCAAAGTGGTTTTCGGAAGTTTATGGATTTAGAAATTTTAAATAAGAGAGTATACATTTGCATTATTATTTTCTAATTTTTTACACAACTTAAAAAAAAAACTTTTTCAACTTAGCCTCATGCTATACCTGTGAAATCAGGAATTTAGTATGCTTATATTATGGACTGAATGCCTGTGTCCCCTGCTGTCAGGCCCCCCCACACACACACTAACTCAAATGTTGAGGCCCTAATGCACGATGAGACTGTATTTGGAGACAGGGCCTGTGTATCAGTCTGTTTTGTGTTGCTATACCAGAATACCACAGACTGGGTAATTGGTAATGAATAGAAATTTGGCTCACAGTTCTGGAGGATGGGAAATCCAAGAGCCTGGCAACAGCACCTGGCAAGGGCCTTAATGCTGCATCATCCCATGGCAGAAGGCAGAAGGGCCAGAGAGGTTGAGTACAAGTGAGCAAGAGGGGCCCAAATTCACTTTATAACAAAGCCACTATCGTCATGACTGACCCACTCCTGGGGTAAGAACATAATCCATTCATCAGGGTGGAGCCATCATGGCTGAATCACCTGGTAATACCATCACAATAGTAATTAAATTTCAATGTGCCTTTTGGATTGGACATTCAAACCATAGCAGCCTGTGAGGAGGTGATAAAAGTTGAATGAGGTCTTAAGGTAAGGCCATGATCACACAGGGCTGGTGTCCTTACAGAAAGAAGACCCAGCAGTGCTCTCTCTCTCTCCACTTGCATCCAGAAGAAAGGTCATGTGAGCAAACAATGAGAAGATCGCTGTCCAAAAACCAGAAACTGAATTGGCCAGCACCTTGATCTTGGACTTCCCAGCCTCCAGAACTGTGAGAAATAAATTTTTGTTGCTTACGCTGCCAAGTCTATGGTATTTTGCTATGGCAGCCCAAGCAAACGAAAACATTATGTAACAGAAAAAATATATATATAACTTGTCCATCAACTGATGAACGGATAAACAAAATGTGATATATCCAGACAATGGAATATTATTTGGCAATAAAGAGGAAAGAAGCTCTGATACATGCTACAACATAGATTAATCCTGAAAACAATACTCTAAGTGAAAAAAGCCAGACACAAAAGGCCACATATTATATCACCCCATTTATGTGAAATATCCAGAACAGGTAAATCCACAGAGACAGAAAGTAGACTAGAGGTTGCCAAAGATGGGGTGGTGGTGGGGGGGATCGGGAGTGACTGCTAACTGGTACAGGGTTTCTTTTTGGGGTGATGGAAATGTTCTGGAATTATATAGTGGTGATGATTGTACAATACTGTGACTATACTAAAAACCCAACTACAGACTTCGAGATGGTAAATTTTATGTTATGAAAATCTGAACTCAATTTTTAAAACTGCAAAACTCCCCCCACAAAACCCTAATATAGAACCATTAAAATAAAAATGTTCCTTGTCATATGAGCTCCGTAAAGCCCCCTCCTAGGGAAAAGGCTCACCCCAGGGGCAGGTCTGCCAGGCCCTACCTGATCTCTGCGGGTCCTTGTCCAGCCTGCAGCCGCCGGTGAACAGCATCTCGGCCTCCCTGGCCAGCAGCGTGTACCGGGGCTCGTCCTGCATGCCGTCGTACTCGCCACCCTCGTCGCAGTCCGTCCTCTCCAGGGCAGCGGTGTACCAGTGCAGGGCCTCCACCCAGTCTTGGCATCTTGCCAGGAGATGAGAGGGAAAGGGGAGGTTACCATGGCAACGGGGTGGAAGGGAGGAGGGCCACTCAGCAGGAGGGGAAGTCAGGGATCCCAGCAGGGCCACCACTTACGGCTCACAACCCATCGGCTCACAACCCATCGTACCCAAGACCACCACATCTGAGGGACACCTTCATAGTGTAGATTTATTTATATGCTTAGTAAGAGAGCAGTCAAGTAGCTCTCCTTAACAAAATCAGTATATTACAACAATTTCCCAACAGATGGAAGGATGTAGAGCGCCTTGAGGAAGGGAGTCATTTTTCTAGTTTGCACAGCAGCACCTCTGAGCTAGCATCAGCAGCGTCCTGGCTGGGCTGCCCTCTGACTCGGGTGGAGAAGGGGTGCAGGGGACACCCTCTGCAGACACCTCCAGGGCCATCTGCGCTAACAGCAATCATTCAGCCCTGTTTTCCGCCCTGCCTGTGCGGGCTGGCTCTGGCTCTCCTGTTTACCCTGGAACAGCTGACTGCCCCCCGCTTCCAGCTCTGTCCCCCACTACCCTCCATCCTCCTCCCACTGCAGCACATGTATGGCCGCCACACCCCCAAGGGCATGCACGGGTTCCAGCCAAACCGCACAACACGGAATACAGAGCCAACAGGGCGGCGTGCTCTTTTTCTCTGGGTGTAACCCACGTGAGTGACTATTTATAGTACATCAGGAAAGAGCAAAGAGAGACCCAGATAAGAAAGCCTATAGTTCTCGTGAAACGCTGCAGGAGCAACAGCTCTGATGACTCGCTGTCTCCTCCTGGTGGCCACAGCCGCCTGAGGCCTATCTGACCTGGTCTGCCCTCTGATCGGGCCCCGTGCATTGCGTCGCCCTCTGCCAGGCTTGCAAGGGTCGCCTCCTAGTCCCCAAACGTGCCGCTCCTGCCTGCTCCTTGGCCATTCCCACTGCTGCTCCCTCGCCTTGAACATTCTTCCCCTAATTCTTTCCACACCTGGCTCCTGGCTGCTGTTTGGATGTGCGTTCCTTCCAAAACTCGTGTTGAGATTCGATTGCCAGGGTGACGGTACTAGGAGGAGGGACATTTGAGAGCTGATTGGGCTGTGAGGGCTCTGGGATCGTGAATGGCTTCATGCTGTTATGGGGGGGTGGGGGTTCATCATCAAAGGGTAATCTTGGCTCCCTGTGACTTTTCTCTCTTCTCCTCCCTGTCACCTTCCTCTCCTTCCACTATGTGATGACACAGCAGGAAGGCCCTTGCCAGATGCCGGCTCCTTGATGTTAGACCTCCCAGCCTCCACAACTATAAGCCAGTAAGTTTCTGTTTATGATCAATTACCCAGTCTCAGCTACTGTTTTGTAGCAGCACAAAACTAAGACACTTCTCACCCCTCCAGACTCAGCTCACATAGCACCTACCTCTTCAGAAGCCCCTGCCCCCAAGGACCCCTGTTTCTTACAATAATTACTGCAATTTCAATTCTCCTTGTTCACTTGTTTATTATGGTCCCCCCTGACTAGCATGTAAGCCCCAAGAAGGCAGGGGTCTTAGTCTGCTTTGTAAACTGCTAGAATTCCCCGGGCCTGGCAAACAGCACAGGCTCAAATATCTGCTGAATGAATAAATGTAAACCAGTGGCTGTCTGGGATGGTTTTCAGGAGATAACCTTGACTCCATCTTATCTTTTAAAAAGTGGAAATGGTTTGAAAATTGTTGGTGACATGCTCAACAAACTCAGGTTTTAAAACTGGCTGGAAGTCACTAGACTAGATGACTTCACTCCTTTCCGCTCTGACCCTCCCCCATCTTAAAGGGCAAAGCAGAAATGCCCCCAAAACATTATATAGGAAAGGGCCTGATCTCTCCCTGCCCACCCCCACCAACGCTATCCCAGTGATAAGGTGCCCACCCTGCCTTGAAATTTCCAATGTCTTTTCCTTTGCCTATTAGAGGGTAACTTCAGAGAGCCAAAACCCCTTAAATGCAAACCCCTGCCTTACCCATAGCTGGCCCTTAATTAACGTTCCCTGAATGGAAGAGGCTGGACCTGCTTGGAATAAGGACAAATAATAATAATAAAATGAATACAGCAAAAGCTATAAAAGAATATCTTGACAGATTTAACTACATAAATATTAAAAACAGGTGTGTCGATGTGTCCACAAACCCAATAAACAAAGGTCATTATGTGATACCTGTGCCCTCACCCCATCTAAGGTAGCCATCTCTGAAAAACACCTTTTTAAAGAGAAGTATATGCCAAATGGTTAATGGCCTTAATATGTAAAGAATTCTTACAAATCAATAAAAAACCCATCACCCTGAATAAAAATAAAAAGTAGAAAAAGGCAGGAAGAGAAAGCACACATAGCAAGGACTTTTTAGGGGCCACAGATCCAAATATTCAATGCCCAACTCCAGCTACCCCCATATATGCAGTGCTTCCCCGTTGCACTCAATGGGCACCATATGTATACATTGGCATTTGACCCGATAAGATCATGTCAGGTCTTTTTTTGTTTACTTCCCCTCCGTGCCAGTAGACAGTACACTGGATTAGGGATGAGAAGACCTAAGTTTTGACCCTGCCAGGGACCAGGTATTTGACCATGAGCAAGTCTCCTCACTTCTCAGAACCGCAGTTTAGCCATCCATAAAACGGGGCCCAAAATACCTGCCCTGTCTGTGTCAAAGAGATGTGTTGGTTCATTCATTCACACAACTGCTGAGCCAGGCTCTGTGCTAGACACTGGGACCACGGCAACGTAGGAGACCTGATGTTTGTTTTTGATGAAATGAGATCACACGATGAAGTGTTATCCAAACATACGGGAGCGTTACTGTCACACAGTTGGTGTCTGATAAATGTTGAGGCTGTGTGATATGTAACATAGGCAGGATGTCATGTGTCCAGAAGTGTTTGACCTTGGGAGCTTGATATGATACGGCCACAGTCCTGACTTTGCTTCGAAACCCATGAGGGAGCTGAGACCTTGACACCAGAGAGGAGGGAACTGCCACGCCACCCTGGAGGTTTAGACGCTGAAGGCCCCCACCCCACTCCCTTCCAGAAAACGCCACAGGAGGCTCCTGAGGACAGGGTGGGGTAGCTAAGTTCCAATGGGCACCACAGGATGAGCAAAGCATCCCATGATGAGTTCTATTTTCCTACACAACCTCTGCCCCTGGACTTCTGGGACCTCCTACTGGCCAAGCCAAGTCCCTGGAACATCGGGGCCGTCCGCTGCAGGAACCAGTCCTGGCATCTCAGCCCGACGGATCAATGACAAGGGTTGACACCTACAGAGCCGCAGCCTTCGGGAGTCTCGAAGCCATTCGGGAAAACTCACCCTGGAGCTTGCCTCCTTCTACCTGCTTCCTCTTAGAAGTGAAAAATAATACAAATAAAAATAAAAGTAGGAAAAGCCAACTGAAATCACCCATAATCCTAACATCTAGGGACAATCACTCTGATCTTGATGCTGCAGATCATCTCAGATTTTTTTCTTGCATATACTGGCTAGAATAGCTGCCGTGTATCACGCACTTCATATGCCAGGCACTGTGACAGTCACGGGCAACATCTCATTCACCCCTCACATACCAGCCCCAGGACACAGGTGCTATAATACTCCCAGCTTGCAAAATGAAGAACTGAAGCCAAGGAGGTAAAATAACTTGGCCAATGTCACTGGATCGGTAATGGGGAACCAAGACTGGAACCGAGCTCTGTCCTAACACATGAAGGCAGGGTCCACCCGCAGCCCCGAGTCCCACCAGCTCCACCTGCATGACAGCTGCAGTACCTGTCTGGGCTGAGGTTCTGGCCGGTGTCAAAAGCTCGTGCCACCAGGATCATGGACTGTCTGTCGCCAGCTTCAGCTGCCTTCAGTAAGTAATCGAATCCTTTTGTTTTATTCTCTTCTGTTTCCTGTAGATACAAACCAAAGAGGGAGAAAGGAAAGCAAATGAGGCTTGTGTTAGAGGCTGCCAAGATCTCACTAGTCAGTCTTCCTCCTATTTCTTGAGTTATTTTGAGAGCTCTGGGCTGGGCTGCCATAGAAGTACACATATCAGCCATTTTTAGTATGTTCACAGAACTGTGTAACCGTCACCACAATCAATTCCAGAATACTTTTACCAACCCCAAAAGAAATTCCATACCTTTAACTATCAATCTCCCCTCACCCCTGCTCTCCCCAGCCTGCCCAGCGCTAGTCTACTTCCTGTCTCCATGGACTGCCTGTTCTGGACATTTCCTGTAAATGGAATCATACATATGTGATCCTTTGTGACTGGCTTCTTTCATTTAGCATGATTCTTTCAAGGTTCATCTATGTTGTAGCATGTACCAGTACTTCATTTCTTTGTATGATCAAATGGTAATCCATGGTGTGGTCATCTCACATTTTATTTATCCATTCATCCACTGATGGATATTTAGGTTGTTTCCACTTCTTAGTTATTGTGAATAATGCTGCTATGAACATTTGTGTACAAGATTTTGTGTGGATGTATGTTTTTACTCTTTTGGGTACACAAGTACGAGTGGAATTGCTGGGTCACATGTACCTTTACGTGTAGCCTTTTGAGGAGCTGCCTGCCTGTTTTCCACAGTGGCTGAACCTTTGCCCATTCCTCTCAGCAGTGTAGGAGAGTTCCTGCCTCCACTCTGGTCCTCTGTGGACCATTCTACAACAGCTAGAGAGATGGGGTTTATTTGATTAGAGATGGGGTCTTACTCTGTCATCCAGGCTGAAGTACAGTGGTGGGATCCTAGTTCACTGCAGCCTCGAACTCCTGGGCTTAAGCATTCCTCCTGCCTCAGCCTCTCAAGTAGCTGGGACGACAGGCATGTGCCACCATGCCTGGCTAATTTTTTTTTTTTTAAAGTAGAGACAGGGTCTCACTATGTTGCTCAGGCTGGCCTCAAATGATCCTGCCTCAACCTTCCAAAGTGCTAGGATTCCAGGTGTGAGCCACCATATCTAGCCAGAGAGATCCTCTTAAAACCTAAGTCTGATCACATTACTCTCTTAAAACTGCTTCATTAGCTTCTTACCTTGCTCAGAGACAAATCCAAAACTTTCATATTGGCCTATAACGCCCTTCTTAACCTTCAAGCTTCAAGAAGTGTGGCAGGGACTACCTGTTACCCCTCATGTCCACTCTCTCCCCCACCATGTTTTCACTGGGCACAAGGCTGACCAGCTAATGACTACATTTCCCAGGCTCCCTTGCAGCCAGAGCCTGTGTCCTAATACAAGAGGCCTATCCCATCGCTCTTGATCACATTCCCTGTCATATTTTCTCCTCCCTTAACTTTAGAACAATGCTTGGCGCAAGAAGCGCTCGATAAAGGTTAGCTACTTTTAATTCTATTGGAGGCCGGGCATGGTGGCTCACCCCTGTAATCCTAGCACTCTGGAAGGCCGAGGCGGGAGGATCACTCAAGGTCAGGAGTTTGAAACCAGCCTGAGCTGGTTTAGTAGAGACCCTGTCTCTACTAAAAATAGAAAGAAATCCATTGGACAACTAAAAGTATACAGAAAAAATTAGCCAGGCATGATAGTGCATGCCTGTAGTCCCAGCTACTCGGGAGGCTGAGGCAGGAGGATTTCTTGAGCCCAGGAGTTTGAGGTTGCTGTGAGCTAGGCTGATGCCACGGCACCCAGTGAAACTCTGTCTCAAAAAAAAAAAAAAAAAAAAATTCTATATTCTATCGAAAATGGTTTTGTTAATTATTATCTGTATTACTTCCTAACCCATCTGGAAAAGGTTTCTCCATGAGATCAGGGACTTTGTCTATCTTACTGCTGCGAATGAGAACCTAGGACAGTGCCCAGATGCTCAAAATGCAGGTACCCAAATGAATGAATGTCTTAGCCAGACAAAAGAAAAAGGCCCAAAGAGTGGGGGTGCTGGGGAGGTGAGAGAGGGGCTTCTAGAGCACACAGTGGCCTCTCAGGGCACGTGGTGATCCCTCTCCTTGCTAAGCCATAGCCTGGCCTGAACACAACTCACATCCTTCCAGCCCGCTGTGTCCTGACCACACGGCTCTACGCAGCCACACTCTTGCTAGGTGAAGCTGTAAGAGTCTGCCCCCTAGAGGAAGGGCCTTGCAGCACCTATAGGTGAGGAAGCTGAACTTGCTTCTCAGTCCCTTTACAAAGTTGCTGGGGTGCAGCTGGTGTAAATGGCGTGGGATTGCAAGGAGAGTTAGAAAGTCTCGGAGAGATGGGATCATCCATCCCCGGTCCTGGTCCCCAGCACTATTTTATTTTATTTTAATTTAATTTAATTTTATTTTAGAGACAGAGTCTCACTTTGTTGCCCAGGCTAGTGAGTGCCATGATGCCAGCCTAGCTCACAGCAACCTCAAACTCCTGGGCTCAAGCAGTCCTAATGCCTTGGCCCCCCGAATAGCTGGGACTACAGGCATGTGCCACCATGCCTGGCTAATTTTTTCTATATATATTATTTGGCCAATTAATTTCTTTCTATTTATAGTAGAGACAGGGTCTCACTCTTGCTCAGGCTGGTTTCAAACTCCTGACCTCGAGCAATCCGCCCGCCTCGGCCTCTCAGAGTGCTAGGATTACAGGCGTGAGCCACCGCGCCCGGCCCCCAGCACCCCTTTATTCTGTCCTCAGACACTCCTGAGCTGTCCTCCTTGTGCCAGGCTCTGCGGTAAAAGCTGGCACAGCCGGAATGCAGCCGTGTGCCAGAGCTGGCTGGTGTAGGTTTGCAACAGACTTAAATTTTCAGGGATTCGGCAAGCCAGTTGTAAAACACGGCCATTATATCGTATAAATTATGCTTCTGAGATAACATAATTACGAGATGAATTATATTTAAAACCAAGGTAATACATACTCAAAGCTCAGGGCTTCCTCCCCTCCCCCTCACCTTCACAGAGACGTCGGCCAGGATGTGGTGGGGCAGCTGCGAGTAAATGAGCCCCAGGCCCACGATGGCCTCCAGCTCGCCCAGGTCGGCCGCGTGCTCCAGGTGGAAGACGGCCGACTCGCGGTCCCACTCTTCGTCCTTCTCGCAGAAGCGCCCGCCCTCGTGGTAGCGCACCATGGCCAGATGGACCTGCCACACAGACTGCGGTGTTGGCCCGGCTGTCTGGGAGGCCGAGGTGCACCCCAGGGCCGCCCAGCCAAGCCTGCGGGAGGAAGCGATTAGCGGAGGAGAGGCAAGCGCTGGGGGCCTCCGGGTTAGTGCAGAGAGGGCTCTGAGACGGGTATCGTGGATACCTTCCCCAGAATGGACTTCCCGATTTTCTTTTCAAGGTCCAGAGCATTAAGCCTTTGCACTTCCAGGGCCACGGCCGAAGCCCTCGGCAGGTGGAGGCGGGAGGAGTTGAAGAGATTCCACTTCTCTACACAGACCTGAAGGGAGAGAACCGGCCATAGAAGCGCGGGGCTGGGGTGGGCACCTCGTCACGGCTGTCGGCAGTCCCCACTACTCAGGAGCCTGGCTGGTAAGAGGGGCAGTGAACCCTCACGGTGTCATGATTTTATTGGAAAACCATGGCTCCAATTTTAATAGTTCAAATGGCACCAGCAACAGGACCCATGGCTAGCAGAACAGGCTGCGGGAGCTCAAGGACGGATTTCCCTCTCGTTTATCCGAGTAGCAACCCCCGTGCTAGCTCCCCATACAAGGCACCAGAAGAGTCTGACTCGGACCTCCCGGCAAGTCACTTTGCTTTCCTCTGTGAAATCACCATAACGCCACTGGTGACATCCACAGGGTGATTCAGAGGATGGGTTTAGAAAATACATAATTTCTGCCAGCCAAAGACTCCCCGGTCCTGAAGTTCTTGCAGCATAAAGCTGGGTATCTGTGTGCAGGCCCACGTGTGTGCTAAGCATCCCACAATGCACACGGCAGCCCCCACAGCAAAGAATGATCCAGCTCGGAAGGCCAAGAAGGCCGCAGTTGAGCAACCCTGCTCCACACTGAGCTGAGAAGACCCTGACCTCACCACAAAATACCCCATGGCAAATAATTAGTGCTCTGGGAGGAACAAGAGTCAAGCCTGCAGGGGTGGGCAGCGGAGACTCCCAGAGGAGATGCCACCAGGATCTAGGTTTGGAGAGCAGGTAGGCTTTGAGGAAGGATGACCAGAGTGGGAGGAAGGACCTTGCAGGTGGGAGAAAGACTCGACTTAGCAAAGGCTTAAAGGTGAGAGGTTCAAAGCATGTTAGGGATCAGCTGGAGGAGTGGGCAGGGCACAGGGCTGGTCTGTCCCAGACTGGCCTGATGGTGACCGTCAGCTAAGATGCTCATTAGACGTACGAGCCGGGCAACTGGGGAAAGGTGCATAAGACCTCAGTTTTCTCACCCCTAAAATGGGGATGAATAACATCAGCCTATTTCCCTGGGTGGTTGCAAGAAGTAAACTGATTAATGCTGCAAGATGCTCCACACAGCAGGCACTTTGAGGTGTGAACTACAGCTGTTGTGACATCCGTCTAGGATGGGGCTGTTCTGCTCTGATCCTCCCCACAGATCCCCCCACATCCTGTCCAGGACACAGGCTCAAAAGTCCCCCTTTGCCCAGGGGATCTGCTCCTTTGCAAAATCTTCCTTTAGGACACACAGGCAGATGGGCAGGCAGCAGAGACACGAGGGAGGAGAGACAGCAACAAAGCCCGGAGGAGGCGCGAGGGCAGCCGTGCCCAGGGGTGCGGGGCGCATTACCCGTCCAGAGCTGCCCAGACTGTCCTCGTCAGACTCGTACCGCCGACTACTGTTGGAGTGGCCCTGAAGGGAGGGAGGCAGAGATGACAGTGACCCACAGAGCAGGTCTTCCCCCCAAGAACCACCCCAATGACAGCCAACCCCGTCCTCCCAGGGGTAGCTGGACCCCTGTCTGCCTAGCAGAAGGGATGCTGGGTCCCCGGTAGGAATGGCGTGTCGGGGCAGCCACGGCCTCGAGGTCTCTCTCCCTGCGTGGGCAGATGGAACCGGACCCCAGCACAAAGCCACTGGGGAAATGGTGCTGAGGCCTTCCTTTAGCCAAAGCTCTTACTGCATGTCTCATATGCACAATCATAAAGCTGAGACCAGAGGTCTCCCAGCAACACTGGCCCTGACGTGCGGGCTCGATTTGGGCGCGTGGTCAGCATGGCCCCTAAATGGCTGACACTCCCGGGATGGTGTGGGGAGGGGGCCAGAGGACACCGACCTTTGCAGCCCTCCACAGGGACTGCCAGGACCCTGTCCCTTGGAGCCGGGCCCTCCCACCCACACCAGCGCCCTCCCTGCTCTGCAGCCAAGGGCTCCCGCTGCACTGAAAGACTTGTCGGCCATTTTCAACCTTCTACTTAAGCTTCCTCACTTGCCCCTGACTGGTCCACGTGATCTTGTTTTATCTTCTCCTTTGCATTTATCTTTATCTGAAATAATCTTGTTTATTAATTTGCTTCTTATCTTCTCAGGACTCTCTCATACTCCCCCTTCAGGAAGGGGGACTTTTATCCTCCTGGAGGATAAGTGAGGCAGCAGGGGACTCTGGTCTCCTTTCCCGTGGATTCCTCACATGTTCTCGGAGCTCAGGGTCATCCAGTTCACCCCGCTTCTCACTGGGGTATCCGCTGTCCCCACTGTTCTCAGAGTCCTGTGGAGAGAAGATGGCCTTAGGGTCTGAAAGGGGGCCTTACTAATAACCTGTCTAACAGAAGAGAATAAACTATCAAACAGAAAGTAAGAAATAAATTCACAGCACATAATTGCCCCTTTGGGTGGTGGGGGACCCTCATAACTATCCCCTTTGTTTTGTTTAATTATAACAAATGTGGTCTAACTTGTTATCTCTAAGACTTCATTTTCTCGGCCTTTTGAAGAACCTTAAGTGGACAGTAGGGGCACGAACTCCCTGCTCCAACTCTCAGCCTCAGTTCCTACAAGAAACATATTTCAAGAACTCAGATAAGCTGGCTTCCCAGAGAAAAGGAGAAAAAAAAAAGAATAGAAAAACCAAACACCACTGTTCCACAGCTGCTCCTGTTATCAGTCTGCTAAAGCAGAGGAAAAAAGTGCCATCTCTATCCTTCAAAACACCAGCTGCTTTTTCTCAACTACCCGGCACTTTCACTCCTTTCTCTGTGTGCTATGGCTACTCTCTCCTTCACACTTTCTTTCTTTCTTTCTAGGGAAAATAAACCTTGTACTTCTTCCTGTCCTAAACTGTGTGTGAGAATTTTTTTTCCAACCCGCCGTGAACACCTAGTAAAAGTTTTCACCCTAACAGGGTCCCAGTGGTCCTCTGAGTAGCTGGTGGTAACATCTGGACATTCCAACCATTGGCCTTCTCTCCTCTGTCCATCACCTCACTTGACATGCTCTTCCCGCTACCCCTCGCTGGTTGGGTGACCATGAGGCAGGATCAAGTACTGGTGAAGGCCTTGGGCTCTGGAGCCAGACTGCCTGGGCTCAAACCTGGCTCCACTACTGGCCAGCTGTGACCTTGGGCAGTTGCTTAACCTCTCTGAGCTTCCTTTATTCCACTAGCAAGTATTTCAAACACACAAATAAGCATCGAGAACTCTAAGATGAACTCCGACACACCTACCACCCAACTTTGTCAACTCCTGACACTGTGCCTTAGTTACCTGAGATCTTTTATTTTTAAAAGGAACTAAAACGTTACTGTTAAAATTTAGACCTCTGGGTATCCCTTCCCATCCCATTCTCTTCCTCCTCCAGATAAACTGGCTTTCCTGTACTCATGCTTCTCATGTCTTTAGATTAACCATTGTATGTTACTTAAATAAATATATATATTTTAAAGCAGCTTGGCATCACCACCAGAAATGTAAAACCTGGATCACTCTCGCAGATACACGGGAGTCATTCAAACACATATAGCGAAATCCTTGGCGTCCGGTCTGGCCAGGGACCCACTCCAGCCCGAGGAACTGTGCTGTCCTCAGAGAGCCCTGCCCTTGTCGCTAGACAGCTCTAGAGCCTTTGCCCCCTGTGAGCTGAAAGGCTGATGGGTTTTTTTAAAAAAAACTATTTCAATTTTTTAAATTAAGGTATGATTTGTGTACGATAAAATTAAAGTGCTCATTTTGCTGAGGGAAAGGCTGTTTTGTGGGGGGCACTCAAGTGACCTTCTGCCTCAGCCTCCCAAGTAGCTGGGACGACAGCTGGGAAAGGCTGTTGTTGAAAACGGATCACAGGCACTACCTACCCAGGAGTTCCCCAACCTTGGGTACCTCGCCCCACCCTCTGGAGTCACTCCCAAGCTGTGACATAGACAGACTCGTTCAAACCCCAGCTCTGTGATCCCAGCGAGGCAGCCAAGCTCTCCAAGCTTGGTTGCCCCATCTGAGAAATGACATGAACGCAAGGCGGCAATGCAGAGAGTGAGCGTGGGGTCGGACAGCCTGGTCTGACCGCCGGCTCCACCACTGAGTGACCATGAGCAAGCAGCCTAACTTTCTTGTGCCTTAGTTTCCTCTTCTCTAAACCAGGGATAATGAGAGAGCCACTCAAGCAGCTGCTAACATTGGGGACGAGATGCAGGTGGCAGAGGGAAGGGGTGTGGGGGAGACTTGTCACCACGTTAATCCTTCATGCCTTGTCTTTTTAACACATGGGGACTTTTTTTTACCTATTCTAAAATCTTAACATTTATTATAATTCTAGAATAAATAATATCTACCTCATAAGTTGTGAGGATTAAATGAGACTATCTACCAAGCTCACAGTGACACTTTCAGATGTATCAGCTATTATTCTTTTTTCTTCCACTCAAGAACTCTGGGCCAGATGTGGTGTGGCTCACACCCATAATCCTAGCACTCTGGGAGGCAGAGGCGGGCGGATCTTTTGAGCTCAGGAGTTCAAGACCAGCCTGAGCAAGAGGGAGACGCCGTCTCTACTAAAATGTAGAAAGAAACTAGCCAGACAACTAAAAATATATAGCAAAAATTAGCCGGGCATGGTGGTGCATGGCTATAGTCCCAGCTACTAGGGAGGCTGAGGCAGAAGGATTGCTTGAACCCAGGAGTTTGAGGTTGATGTGAACTGGGCTGATGCCACAGCACTCTAGCCTGGACAACAGAGTAAGACTCTGTCTCAGAAAAAAAACAAAGAACTCGCTTGGAAAAGCAGCCAAGAGTGAACTTGAACCTTTCGGGCAATCTGAGAGTGCAACTTACAGTGAGCTTGTGGTCTGTGCAAGTGTGACATTTCTGTAAAGTGTTTATTTAAAAAATTCATAAGAAATTTTAATTTGACACCTTAATATACATTTGCATGCATGCAAATATGATGCCTTCAGTTTCTTCCCACTGAGTCAACCTGAAGCTGCAGGAAACGTTCTGCTTATCCAACCCGAGAGCATTTCAGCTTACTGTACCACATGTTACAGATCTGAGATCTAGTATAGTGGCCCGATGAGACAACCATCCACACACGTGGCCAAACCAATCCTGGGGCTGAACCTGGCATTTACCAGAAGGTTACACTGCTGCTGATCTGCAGTCCCTCTTTCCTAACCATCTCCAGGAACTGTAATGGACCCAGCTCTTCCCCAAGGAATGCTCTGCCTTGGGCAGGAGTATGGAATCCATCTGTATCCTCCTGCTGCCCCTACCCCGTGCCTACTTGGCAGGGGAGATCTGGGCTGGGCTGCCCACCTCCCAAGTTCAAGATTCATCCCCAATTCCCATTGGGATAAAGTCCAGTCCTCCACCCCAAGGGCACTGGAACCCGCAGCCTCTCTCCCTCCACACTCACCCGGTGGTTGTCCAGATGGTCATGGTCTCTGGGCGCCATGTTATCAAGGTCACTGAACACTGGCCAATCTGGGCAGGGAGAGACAGAGATGATATGTTGGTTACCCTGCAGGAATATTCACAGGACCAACCTAGGGCCCAAAGTAGACCACACCTGACACCAAGCCTTTATTATTATTTTTTTAGTTTTAAAGAAAGGCACAAGAGAACTTGCTCTAAGTCTGCCACTTGCCAACTACATAATTCTGAGCAAGCAGCTTCCCCTCCAAGACTCTTCAAGGCTGTGATAATACAATTATATTTGTATTGTGTTTATTAGCATGTGTGCCTGGCCCACACTCGGCCCCCAGTAAGGGGCAGCTGTGAAGGAAGAAAAGCCATTTGTACATTTGGGGCCCAAGAAGTGGACCTCAGACGGCTTCAAAACCAACCATCTCCTACTGGTTCCCTATCTCAGTCTCCTGCCCTGAGCTCACTCAAGCCAAATCTGTCTGCCTGCCTGTTTTTATACAGATTTTAAACATGGCTCTTACATTTTTAAATGGCTTTCAAAAGTCAAAAGAAGAAAAGGAATTTGTGATATGTGAAAACTATATGAAATTTAAATTTCAGTGTCCACAGTAGGTTTATTGGAACACAGCCACACCCATTCACTTAAATATTTATTTTCTGTGGCTACTTTCATGCTGCAAATATAGAGACCGAATGACCTGGAAGGCTTAAAATGTTTCCTCTCTGGTTCTTTTAAGTAAAGCCTGTTGACCCTGCTCCAGACGATCCCAAAGGCCTTCCAGTGGAGACGTCTAAAAGGCTCCTTTAACGTTTTGACATAAAATCTTCCTCTCCTGCTCTGAGCCTGCTCCCCTATGGCCTTTCCCTGAATAAATGACCACACTGTCCTTCCAGTTCTTCAGGCCCAAGTCCTGGAGTCAGCCATGCCCCCCACCTTTCCTGCATGCCCTCAGCCACATAACCACAAACTCTACCACTTCAACTTCAGAAACACTGTTTCCATTTTTCACCTCTGAACTATTCATATCACCTTAATAGATTTCCTAATGTTGATCAACCCTCAGATTCCTGTGAAAACCCTATTTGACAGACTATTCCTTCAAGATACTACTAGTTTTTACTTGTTAATATCTTATTTAGAATTTGTGTGTTTTGTGTGTGTATATAAGTAAGGTTGGGATATAGTTTTTTGTTTTTTTTTTTTTTGATGTTTTGTCAAATTTTGGAGTAAGGGTTTTGCTAGTTCCATAAAACACACTGAAAAATGTTACCTTGTTTTCTACAACAGGAGTCGTTTTTATGGCATTTAGATGACCTATGTCTTGAAAGTTCATTCAAAGAACTCACCTGGAAAACCATCAGGGCCATGAATCTTTTTGGTCAGCATGGCTGATTCTTCTAACATAAATGAAAGCCAGTTTAGTTCTGCCCTACCTGTTGCCTGTCCCTTCCAACCACAGTGACCAGGGGCCAAACCACCACTCACGGAGCTGGTCCAGCTTCTGGCTGTGTGGTGTGGCCGAAGACGGGGAGGAAGGGAGAGAGTCAAACGTCATGTCGCTCATGTTCTCGTCTCCAGAGTTTTCTGAGAGGCGGAAGAGCAGGGGTGGCCGGCTCCCAGAGAGGGTCCTTACGCGGGGGCTCCCACACTTTTCCTCTGTCCCCCTCAAGATGGTCTTGGCTGATTGCTGGGGACATTAGCAGGGATATTCATGTCACACAGGCACCCTCTGGGGGATGAAGAGCTCTTCCTGTTGTTCCCTCTGACCCTGAAGCCCTATCAGCCACGGCTCCTGCACATGCCCATGCAGGGGCTGACAGAAAATTTATTTAAAAAATCAGTAGGGATTAACCCTAAGACCTCCAAGAGGGAACATCTGGAACAGGAGCTCAAAGGACCTGCCAGCCCCTAAAATGCTGACCACACTTTACAGCCCCGAGCTGGAGAATGTATCTCACTCTATATGTCCAGAACCCCAGGCTGGTCTTTGCCAACATTCCCTTGTATCTGGTCCATGTGGCAAGGTCAGGGGAAAGGGACCTCAACCTGGACACACCAAGGTGCCCAGAGAGCCAGGTCTAAGTCCAGCCATCTGTCAATGCCCACCAGGCACACACCTTCTCACTGTCTCTGCATGTCTGTTCCCCTCACCCTGGGCAAAAATGGGCCCACCTTGAGCAGACACCAGCCACTCTATTGTGGGGACACTCAGGTGGGCTTTGGGTACTGAGCTGGGGGGATGAGTTGTGGCACAGATGGGATGGCTCCTTCCTGCCCTGGCATTCTTCAATTAACCATCGCCAGGCCTGGCTGTCACCACACAGGGAGGCAGGGCTTGCTGTCCGGGTAGCGGAAGGGCCTGCCTGGCCAAGCAGGTTCACGCTGGGCACCCACCAGCAGCTTGGTGTTCTGATTCACCGCGTCCTTCTCCCGTGGCGAGAGGTCAAAGGGAGCGAGGCCCATGCTCATGCAAATCCGGTTGCAGGCATGAGAGTAGAAGAAGAGCGCCATCCCCCGGACTCCTGTGGACAGAGCAGGGGTGTCTGGAGTGTTGCTTTGCTGTGACAGGGGAGGGTTGGTGCCAGCCCCATAAATGTGGCTGGGACATAGCCGGGCGCGGTGGCTCACGCCTGTAATCCTAGCACTCTGGGAGGCTGAGGCGGGCGGATTGCTCAAGGTCAGGAGTTCGAAAGCAGCCTGAGCAAGAGCGAGACCCCATCTCTACTATAAATAGAAAGAAATTAATTGGCCAACTAATATATATAGAAAATTAGCCGGGCATGGTGGCGCATGCCTGTAGTCCCAGCTACTCGGGAGGCTGAGGCAGCAGGATTGCTTGAGCTCAGGAGTTTGAGGTTGCTGTGAGCTAGGCTGACGCCATGGCACTCACTCTAGCCTGGGCAACAAGCGAGACTCTGTCTCAAAAAAAAAAAAAAAAAAAAATGTGGCTGGGACAGGTGTAAGATGTGCTGAGCTTAGGGTGGTCAGGCACCCCAGGCTCCCATCTCAGTGACCTTAGGAAAGCTCACATACTGTCACAGCCTGTTTCCTTGGGTGTATAAAGAGCTGGGAGATTTTAGCAGGTGGCTTGGTATCCATGGAAACAGGCTGGCTTTCCTACCTACCTAAGTTGCCATCTCCAAAGTCAGTGCCCATCTCGGTGTGGATCTGTGGGTCAGTGTAGAGGTCACCTACTCCCTGGATGTCCACCACTATCAGCTGATGGCCGGAACGCTCAAATGTGAAGTGGCTAAAAGCCTGTGGGGGACAGGAAGAAAAAGATGGCTGCAAGAGACCAGGCTGTGACCTGTGCAGACACTGGCCAACCTCTGCTCTGGGTTGAAATGCCCAGCTCTGCCCATGTTGGGGGCTTTCTCTGCAAGGAGGTGTATAGAGCAGAAGACAAAGGAAGGAGGCCTGTTCAATCGGCAGAGATCTTGGGGCTGCAGTCCTGTGGCCACCTTAGGTCTGCTGACAAAAGCCAGCATGGGGTGACAGATGTCCCATTACAGAGTCTCTTGCAGAATACTCCAAGGGGCTTGAGGGTCCTCTGAGGATGTGAGAACCCATGGCCACAGGGACCCTCCTTCTCTAGGGGCTAAAGCTGGCCAGGCTCCCACCCTGAAGGGCTGGGTGGGCAGAGGGTGGAGGTGTAGGCAGGGTGAGCCTGGGGTCTCACCTGCGGTGTCAGGCGGATGTCGTCATCACGGACAAAGCCTGAGTTGGAATTGTACTTGATGTACTTGCCCTCGATGTAGTGCTCCAGGTGGAAGAGGGGCTTGCCTGGCCTCTCCTTCAGCTCGATGATGCACATCTGCATGATGTCCACCTGGCAGGAGGGGGAGTAGGGTCACATGGAAGGGCAGGGGGAGGGGTTGAGAGTAGCCAGCTGCCTGGGCCCAGAACCTGGCTCCATCACATACTAGTTTGTCCCCAGAATCCATTCTCCCCTTTTCCTTTTAGAATAAAAACATCCACACCTGAATTTTAATAGGATATACAACCATCAGCTAGAATGACATTGCTGAGCTTCCCTTGCAGCTAAGTGTGGCCATGTGACCATGCCAGGCCAATGGGAAGTGAGCAGCTGCAATGACATCACTCCAGCCTGCCCTGTAAGGTGGACTCTTCCTGTGAGCCAGAACAGACCACATGGTCCACAGCAACCCCTAGGGGATGGCAGAGCAACAAAATAGAAGGAACCAGGGCTCTGGATGGCTTCAAAAAGGCGAGGTACCACCCCAACCCATGGCACCCATCAACAGGACCTTTACACAAGCAAGAAAGGAACCATCTCATGTCAGCACATATTTATGGGTCTGTTTGCTAAACAACTTCACCTGTGTCTTACACTAATGCTGTGAATTCATTCATAAGTTATTTTACCTCTCTGTGCCTCAGTTTCCTCACCTGTGGAATGGGCATCTCAGACTTTGTATATGCATTAAATGTATCGAAGCACAAAGGGGCCAGGAATCTTTGTTCATGTTGTTATTATCAATAGACACAATCTAGAGTAATATTAGGTCATTAAATATGAAATGTCCAATTTCAAATCAAAAGTTTAGTTTATTACATCTTAATCAAGAAGCCATACAATTAGTCAAAGTGTGCACCTAAACGATAGACACAGTTTTACCATTTTAATGGTAGCTTGTTTATGCCAGCAGTAAAGAAACCTGGAAAGCGAGTGGTGTTGAAATCTCAAAAAGGTGTTTTCTACGGCTTGTTGAGAAATGAATATTTTTCCTTGCAAGAAGTGGACCAAAGCCTGGAAGAAGTGGTAGTCACTTGGTGCAAAGTCTGGTGAATACAGTGGATGACAGAGACTTTCCAAGTCCAGCCTCTGTAGTTTGGGCAGCATCGTTAGTGTGACATGTGGTCAGACATTGTCTTGCAAGAGGACTGGCCTCTCTCTATTAACCAATCTTGGCTGCTTAATCATAAGCATCCTCACCACTTCACCGAGTTGGCTGCAGTGGACATCACTGCAATCGATTGACCCGGTTTCATGAAGTTGTAGTGGATAATGCCAGCACTAGACCACCAGACAGACACCGTTAGTCACCCACGTGGCTCATTTTCAAGATTAAAATTGTCAGAATGAAATTTCTCAAACCATTGACATACTGTGTATTCATTAGCCATATCTTTCCCAAACGTGTCGTTGATATTTCAAGCTGTCTGCACTGCATTGGTTTCGAACCCACATTCAAAAATAGAACGAAGTTTTGACTTATCCACAGTTTCACAAAAATTGCTCAAAAAAAAAAAATTGGAAAGATAATCACAAGCTAAATGTGTTTGAAATAATGAGGATGTACTTTTACCATAAAAATAAAACAAGAAGTGTCAAAGGGAAATGTCAGAGATATCAACTGTCAAACTTAGTACTTAAGGAAGTCGGACATTTCTTATTTAATAACCTAATATATACCAACCTGTAAACAGCAGTTTTCTCCCGCAACGGGGAATTATGGGGAACCTTGACATTCTTTGCTTCTCTTTTTTTTAAACAAAGTATATGTTTAACCATGTACACAGACGAAAACGTATAAACACAGCGTGTATGGTCTATACAGCGGGGTAGGGAAGACTTGTGACTTGCACGTGGGTCTCCTGCCCTGTTACATAAGGGCTCGCTCACAGCACCCGCCCCCTTGGTGCCACCTACACCATGGGAGGAGCCGGCTCCCGGTTTCCCAAGGCAACAACCATCCAGGGAGGGTGAGTCACCAGGCAGACAACAGCTGCAGAGGCTAAACGGGCCCTGAGCTGGGAGCTTCCCCCAAACACCACCTCACTTCTGAGAACCAGCCTGAGGGGAAGGAGGAGAGGGGCGGTTCTCAGAGGGTTCCGCACCAAATGCTGGCTCCATCCCTACCAGGAAACCTGCATCAGGGCCACCTGCTTGGCCAGAGGGCTCCCTGGGTGAGGGGCAGTGGCATAGCCACATGTGGACAGCCAGGACCTTCTGGAATAACCACATCCCTTCCCCTCCCTTCATTCAGCCACATTACTACGTACTGGACTTCTAGGCGCTGGGAGAACAGAACAGATGAAACCTCTGCCCTCGGGGACAGAAGCAACTAACATATGAACTAAATGAATAAAGCTCTCTCTGCTTTAACTGCTCCAAGGAAAAGAAAACAGAACAAACCAGAATGCGGTGGCAGAGGTGACTGGGTGGAGGGGTACTCCACTTAGGTTGGTCTGAGCCAGCTTGGCTGCAGAGAGACACACGTGCTGAGACCTGAGTTCTGAGAGGACAAGCAATCAGGCTGGCGGCATGGCCGGGGCGAAGGTCCTGAGGCAGGAATGAGCTCAGGGAGGAAAAGAAAGGAGCCCAGGCTGGAACAGAGTGAATAGCTGATGATGTCACAGCCCCCCAGAGTGGGGACTGTGGCTTGTGTGCCCAACCCAAGTGTGCTTAAATCAAGGGCCCAGAAAATAGGAGGTGCTCAATGAATTCTGCTGGTTGCCTGGAAGCGCCGCTCTCCTGAGGCACCCAAGACTTTGCATCTAGCAGAGGCTCAAACTGCGGGAGGGCTGAACAGTGAATTTCGGCAGGGCAGAGGCTTGGAACAATGTTTCCTCAAATGCCCACAGGCAGCAGGAAAATTGGGCCTAGCCACAGTCACCCAACACCCTAGGGCTCCAGTGAAGGACCCAACCTGGCAGGGGGCTGGACAGCTTGGATTTGAGTCCTGGCTCCATGCCTGCCTGGTGGGGCAAGTCATTTAACCTCTCAGAGCCCTGGGTTCCTCAGGGAGCGGATACGGTATGCATTTCCCAATCCTTCCATTTTTTTCTTGGGAGCCACCCCTTCGCCAATCTCAGCTCAGGTGGTCTGAGTGGAACCTCACATTCCCAGCTCTAAGTGGGCACAAGGCTCAGGCCTGCCCAATCTGCATATCCCCTCCCCTTGGCCACTGTGATTGGCTCAGCCATAGGCATCTGACCTTATCAGAGCCAATGACACCCAGTTCTGAGACATTCATTGGAACTTCTGGGAAAATAGGTGCCCTCATTCCAACAAGGCTGCTGGGCGTGCCACTGCAAGTGGAAAGGCTGCCTGAGAGTGACACCAACACAGAAGAACAGCCAGCCCAGAGAAAGAGGAAGATTCCCAATAACTTCAGTTTGGTCCTGGATATAGCCATGGCCTGTGGCTGGCACTATTTTTCAGTTATATGAGGCAGTGAATTGCCTTTTTAGGATTGCATCAATTTGAGTGGGCTTCTGTCATTTGCAAACTAAAATCCTGACTAATACCCATCTATAAATGGGGATAAAAACATTCCAATCTCAGAGCTCCATTTTTGAGAACAGTACTCCCTGCATACTTGGCCCACCATGTTCAAAAATGGCGGTTGTCATTAGCCACTGTTAAGAGGGTGAAGGAGGGACCCTGTGATGGGCCCCGCCCTCATTCCCAGACACTGTGCCCAGCTGCCCTGGCATGGGGAGGAGGTGGGGGGGGGCACGCACCTGCTTGGGTGGCTTGTGTCGATTATATTCTTCCCCCCAGAGCTTGGCCTCCATCTGCAGACGCACATCCTCAAAGTACACGTCCCTGCCCACGGGCTCGATGTAGCGCTTTGCCACGTAGTTGGAGGCCCCCTTCCACTGCTGGGTGTGCAGGAAGTTGGAGAGCTTCTTCCTGGGGGGAGAAAGAGCAGGAAACCTGCCTGGGTGCTCCGGGGCCACAGCCCTGGGTCCTCAGGACAGTGACACCCTGCCTGGCTGGCTGGGGTCAGGCACAAAATGTGGGCGATGGGAAGGGTTTTCCTGCCCCACTGTATAAGAGCTGGGAATGGCGGTTCAGGGTCATCGTTAATGGCCTCCTATCCTGTTTGCCTTGACCTCTAAGCGCCAGAGCAGAGATGAGTAGGATGCTCCGCGTTCTTCCTGAACCATCCCCACAGCCAGGCCTCGTGTGGGATCCAAGGGAGACCAGAAGGAGAGAAACTTTGGACAAAAGAGGGCAGAGGCTACTGTCTCCATTCCTTGGCCCAAAGTGTCCCAGTGCCCCAGCTCTTAGAGGCCTGGGGGAGTCCGGGCAGGGCCCCAAGCACCAGGCTGAGTCACTTACGTCCTGAAGCACTCCCTCATGGCTCCTCGGCCGAAGGGCTGAAAGACACCACACAGAGGGTAATCAGTCCCCACGTTGCACCCAGAAGCAGCCCTGAGCCAGGAGATGTCACCCACCAAATGGCTACCGGTGCCCTGCACCTCATTTCAATCCTGAAAGCCCTGGGCCCTCCCCTCCTGCACTTCCACCAAAGCCTGAAAGGCCTTCCAGCCCAGAGGCCCTGGGAGGACGAGGACCACCCCATCCCTCCACCCCAGCTGAGGGGAGGATCCCACGGGGGCCAGGATGTTGGGAGAGGGACAGTACAGCTCTGTCAGTAACAGAAAAAAATTGAAACAACCTAAGTTTCCATCAACAATACACTGGAGAAGTCAACCAGGTCTACTCATTCAAGGAAATACTATATAGGGCGCTGAGAATGAACACAAAATGTCACCCAACAGAAGCTATGCTCAAAAGAACACCTGCTGTATGGTTCCACGTACTTCCTAGTATGTCAGCAAAACTAGCCTGGGTGTCGGAATTCAGAGTGGTGCTCACCCCGGGGGCAGGGGATCTGGGGAGCTGGGTATGTTTTATTTCTTGACCTGGGTGCTAGTGTTCATTATGTGAAAACTCGGCAAGCCACATGCTTTTCTGTGTATGTTACACTAAAAAAGTTTCACAAAACAATCCTTGCCCTCACCATGCAGGGAGACTCTATTTTCTAGCCTTTTTTTTTTTTCCTTTCCCCCCCTCCAAAGGCTGGTGGCAACCCATGGAATCTATTTAATAACTCAGTAACGGGTTTAAAATTTAATTCAATTTTAAAAGAATTTTAAAAGCAATTTAAAAGAAAACCGGATATATACATTTATGGTCAACTGATTTTCAACAAGAGTGCCCAGGACAGTCTTTTGATGTATGTATGACATCTTAGTACAGGGAATACCCAGAACAGGCAAATCTGCAGAGACAGAAAGTGGAACGGTGGTTGCCAGGGACTAGGGGAGGCGAGGGAGTGCGGAGTGGCTGCTAATGGGCATGGGATTTCATTTGGGGAGGGTGAGAATGCTCTGGAATTGGTTGTGGTGATGACTGCACAACTATGTGAGTATACTAAACACCACTCAACTGTACACTTCAGACAGGGGAATTGTATGGCATGTGGATTATACCCCACTAAAGCTGTTACAAAAATACAATAAATAAACAATAACATGAAGAATACACAATGTTAAAAAAAATTAAATAAAGCGGGTGTGGAGGGCAGGGTGCACAGACTCAAGTCAGCTGGAGGAAGTCCTGCTCAGCCCTGTCCCCACGGGGCTCCGGGCCCTGCTCACCTGGGACGCCATCTTGATCAGAACGTCATCTTGTAGCCACTCCCCGGTGACAGCGTTGTACCTGTAGAGACCAGAGCCCATGCAAAGGCACAGCGTCCATAATACAAGCCTGTCCTTCACTGGCTAAGGCAAGAGACCCTTTCTGGGGCCCTCACTGTCGCCAGGGTCCGGCCCCCGCTCCACCGTGCCCCCAGCCCCGTCTCCCCTGCACTGGCTGCTGTGCCGCCTGCTGGCCTGCTCTGCCCCGGGCTCCCCCACTGGACGGTGACTCCACAAAGCAGACCCACATCTGTCTCCCTCATCCTGCCTGGTGCATGCAGATGCTTAATAAATAAAGCCAGGAGGGATGAGTGATTGAACAGACAAAATAAATATCCTGATTATAGCTGGTCTATGTAACGAATGGACACCCCAGGGAGGGAGGCGGCAGTGCCCTCAATCTTGCCAGGCAGCGGGGCATTTCCCCAGCAGTGACAACTGTCCTGTGCAGGCAGAGGTGGGAGAGGGTCCTGCCTCTGATCCAGCCAGGAAAGGGGCTGCCGGAGTAGGGACAGAGAGCGGGTGATCCCTTTCCTGCCATCACAAGGGTCACGGCCAACACCCCTATAACAAAAGGCAGGCTAACAAGACAAAAGCATGCTGAATTAAGCTGATCACAGTTTGACATGACACAGGAGCCTTCAGAACGAAGACCCAAAGATACAGGGGAAGCTATCGGAGTTTATGCCTAGGTTCCGTGAAGCTGGGACAGCTGTGGAGAAATGTGACCGCACAGAAAGGGCACGAGCCGATGGTAACAGGCGGAGTGGGGAAACCCTGTCCACATTCTTCTTGGCCTCTCTGTTGCACCATTTTCTCCTCCTGAGTATGGGGTGAAGGCCTCTCTGGAAAGAGGATCTTAATTTCTTGAAGGCCAGCTGTTACACAGAAGGTTTAGGGAAGGATAGAGTAGTATTTTTAGGTTTTGTGTCTGGCTTTGGGGGAACAGGGTTCAGGTTTCTGTGACCTGCCTTGGGAGAGAATGAGGGACAAGCGACAGGAGGTCAGAGAGAGGCTTTGCTTCTGACGCTGTGTCTGAGACCTTGACTTTGGGTATCATTTTTCTGAGCCCCAACACCGGGTTGTGATATTGTAAAACACATATTTGATCTGAGACGCTGTTTCCTGGCACACAACCCCTAAAATCCTTACAATCTCCAAAGTGATGTCTTTCTGTATGCTAATGAGATGGCTGGTGACTGGCAGCCCCTCGGCAGCTTCAGGATGGGACTGGTCACCAGAGAGACCAAGGCAGGATTAGAGGGTTGAACTCTCAGCTCCACCCCCGACCTCCAGGGAGGGGAGAAGGGCTGAAGGTTAGTTGATCACCAACGGCCAATAGTTTGGTCAATCACGCCTATGCAATGAAGCCTCCATAAAAACCCAAAAGGATAGGGTTCAGAGAACTCCCTGACAGCTGAACACAGGGAAGGTTCGAGAGGGTGGCAAGCCTGGAGAGGACATGGAAGCCCCTGAGCCCCTTCCCACATGCCTGGGCCCTTCTGTATCCTTTGTAAAAAACCTGTAAATGTGAGTGAGTGTTTCCCTGAGTTCTGTGAGCTGCTCCAGCAAACTAACTGAACCCAGGGAGGAAGCTGTGGGAGCCCAAATTTGTAGTTGGTCGGTCAGAAACACAGATACAACAGCCTGGGGTTTGTGACTGGCGTTGGGAGTCGGGGGCAGTCTCGTGGGACCGAGCCCTTACTCCGTGGGACCTGATGCTACTGCCAGGTAGGCAGTATCAGAAGTGAATTCAATCAGAGGACACTCAGCTGGCTTCCTCTGCAGATCTGACTGCTTGTTTGCTGGGGGGAAGAAATCCCTACACATTTTGGGGTCACAGAAGTATTCTGTGCTGTAAGAGTATGGTAGGAGAAACTGGGTTTGTTTTTTCCACAGATGGGTGCACACCCAAGGCACAGAGAGCTGGAAAGGGTTCTAGAACATTTTCATCTCACCTTTCCCAGAGCAAATCAGCTCCTGAGCCTGGCTGCATCCCAAACAGGTTTGCTTGGTGAAAATCTCAGCTCAGGCAATCCCTAAAGTCTAAAGCCTCCCTCTAGGCTGAGGAGTTCTTAGCTGTAGTGAGAGGCCTCCCCTGGCCCACCCTGCAGCTGGGGCAGGCTCCAGAACACTCCCAGCCTCAGTGAGACCAGGTTTCCCAGAGCTTGCAAAACAAGCAGAAGCCTGGCAGGTAACCTCCTCTGAGCTCAGAGGAGGGAGAGAACTTCAGAGCTGCAAACTTGCTGCACCAGCCTGTTGCAAGCACGGCTGACCCCTGAGCAACACGGCTTTGAAGTGTGCAGGGGTACCTTATACACGGATCGTTGGAACATTTTTTGGATCGTTGGAACATTTTTTTTTTAGAGATTTGCAACAATTTGAAAAAAACTCATAGATGAACCTCATAGCCTAGAAATATAAAAAAAATTTAAAAAGTTAGGTATGTCATGAATGCATAAAATATATGTAGATATAAGCTGATTTATGTTTTAATCGACTGTATGTTATTGGCACATTCTTATGTGTTCTGATTGCATGGTACAGCACGGTCTGTACCATGTAATCTGTACACGGTCTGTACCATGTAATTCTGATTGCACGGTCAGCAGTAGGTTATTAGTAGTTAACTTTTAGGGAAATAAAAAAGTTATATGCAGATTTTTGACTGTATGAGAGGTCAGTAGCCCTAACCTCCACGTTGATCAAGAGACAACTGTACTGTGCTTAATAAATAATAGCAATTATTACTATTATTACTATACAGAGACTAAGGTGAAGGAAATAATCATCCCTCACTTCCAAAAGAGATTGCAATCTGGGAGGCACCCAGAAGCGGGGACAGGTGAGATAATGCACATTGGAAGGGTCTCAGCTGTCACTCACAATCACTAACAGCACAAAGGTAAGAATTACTCAAAGTTCACTGAGCACTCACTCTACCCTGGGTGCCTAAATGGACTGCTTCATTCAACCCCCCCCCCAGCAGACCAATGAGATTGCTGTAATTACTGTGCCCATTTTCCAGATGGACACCCTAAGGCCCAGAGAAGTAAAGTAACCTGCCCAAATGCAGGCTGGTTGGAACCAGAACCTTGCTCTTAATCACCTGGGGAACCACCCACATGAACAGGAAATCTGTCTTGCACCAGAGTTCTTAAAAAACCAGGGATGGACAAGGAAACCTCCAATTTAAAAATCCCCGGAGAGTCTAGCCAGCAATACCCCTGCCTCCCACTAATGCCAGCCAAGGCAATTAAAGTCAGGCACTTTGGTTAGGAAATAAACACAGTTCGGCCTTGTCTGAGATCCCAGCTACTGTTCAGGCCATGTGTCACCAGCCACTTCCTGCTGTGCTCCCGCAGGTAGAAAGGAACGGAGCCCATATCCTGCCCTGCTGGGGCATTTATGATGCTGACAGCAGCTGCCAGACACAGACCACAGACTCCACTAAGAGGAGAGCTTCCAGCAGTGGAGAGGGGGTCCATATGGGACTCTATAGCCATCTTTTCAAAGGGTGGGGTCAGGAACACATTGTATAAAGGTGGAGAGGGCAGTGTACGCCTCTCAGCCCCCCTGTAGCTAGGTGAGGCTGTGTATCTAGATCTCACCAATGGATTGCGTGCAAAAGTCATGCCATTTCCTGGGCCAAGTCATTGAACAGCTGATGTGCTACCTCCACGCTCCACCTTCTCCTCTGGGAGCACTGGTGGGATCACGTGTTGAGATGACTGAGCCTCGAGGTGGAAGCAACCTGGGTCCCAGCTGCCCTGAACAGTTGCTCACCTCTCACCCAACTTCGCATGTGTGAGAAATGCACCTTAGTTGTGTGGTACCCCCGGGGTATTTGTTACTGCAATATAGCTCAGCCCAGCCCGGCCGGCCTGTCTAACAGGTACCTTCTAGGAGCCGGAGAAGGCTTCAGTGAGATGACACCTAGCAGCACTCCAATATCGGGGGGCTGTCATTACGAATCCCTTCTCCCAGTCCCCAAGGGTACCGGGGCCTCACTGATTGTGAGCAGAAGCAGGACCCTCCCAGACTCAAGGCCCCCGGACAAGCTGCTGACCTGTGCCGCGTCGCACACTCTGTGGCAATGTCCTCGAGGTGGAACTCAGCCCAGGGGTCTGGCATGTGCTTGGCCTTCTCGATCGCGTGCTTCCAGGCTTCCTGCAGAAGGCAAAAGGCGGCGTTAGGCCCAGACCAGGGCCCTGGGGACACTGTGGCCCAGCCTCCTCCCGCCCTGCTGTTTCTTCTGGGGGGACAGACGACATCCGTGAGAGAGCAAGTCTCCCATCTAGTATTCTTTCTGGAACACAACTACATACCCCACAGAGACCCTATTTGCTCTCACAGGCACGATCTTCCTGTGGGCAGAAGTGATGCATCTTAACTGACACTGTTTCACTTGAAATTGGAAAGTTGAGAATGAAAATAGCACACCATTCCCCCATCCAGATTGACAAACACTTCAGTGAGTGCTGGCTAGGATGCAGGGAAATGAGCATCCTCCTGGATCATCACGGGTATAAATCTTTCCTAAAAGGCAATCCGGCAATGTGGTAAAATGGAAAAAAAATGCATTCCTTAATTTTGGCCCAGCAGATGTAGACCCAATGCTCTATCTAGGGATTGATCCTATGGAAACATGAGTACAAGTGTGCAAGCATATATTTATAAGAGTGTCATAGTGATCATGTAGAATCGAATTTAGCCAAAGGTTCATCTGTGGGGATCAGTTAAAGACATTTTGATTACATCCATTTAAAAGGTGAAGCAGCATTCTGAAAGGCTACATTTCTCTTTTAGGGAGATCCAGTGCCCACTTTTTAAAATAAATATTGCATGACACCTCGCTTTACTGCCCTGCATGAAATCCATAGATAACACACACAACTTGCTGAGCTCGGAGTATCTCAGAACCATGCCGAAGGCATGTTGCCTTTACACGGGTCATGGCACCAAGCTCCAGACTCGGACCACTGTGAACCGATTCCCACGAGACATTCCCCGGCCCTGTGG